ATACTAATTCTTTTTAAATTTTGGCGTCCGTTTCAGTAAGGTTTCACGAGTCCGATTTGGACTATTTACTCTTGGAATTTTGACATTTTATCGCATTTCTGCTAATTTTCCGTTCCCTTATTTTTTGAGCACACCTAATTGAGAATGACACTTTGAAGTGTTCTCTCTTCTGCTAGTTTTACTACTAAAAAAGTACTGGAACACAACTAATGTTTCAAAAATTCATACCTTACAAGATTCCCACAATTAAAAAATTTTCAAATTAAAACATTTAAATTCTTATATTATTGTTTTATATTTTCAACACAAAAAATAAATTGTTCAATTGTCAATGTTGAAAATGTTAAACCTTGAAATTTTGTGTGGTCGACGTATTTGGGTAACTCTCATATGAATGCATGGGTTTAAATTGAATGGTGTATGAAATGGTGGATGGTATATGAATATAGGTAGACGCATCGACACAGCTGTTGGGACAATGAACTGTCCAAACAATTCTGGAATTGAAAATGTTGAATGAAAAAATATTTAAATTTGTAAAAAAATTGAAAAAACGAGAATTATAATAACCACCGAATGAAGTCGTATAAGAAGCCATATAAAAATCTACTTATAATTGAAAAAAAAAAAACATTTAAATTTTTTTGACATATCATTGTTTCCAATCGTCTACGCGTCTACCTGTATTTTTCTACCATGGTATGGTGAAAAACGTCGTCTGAGTACGTCGAATTTTATGCTAGGAACACAATTGAAGCGAACGACGAATTTCACCCTAAATTCGTCGTATGGAACACAAAACCGACGAAATTATAAAACAACTGACTGATAAAACAGCTGATGAAGTTGTTTAATTTTTTCTCATTTGTTGACTACAATGAGTCAGAGAATTGTAAAGTATATTAAAATTGTTAAAATAATTGTCATAATGTAAGTTAACGACATTGGCGACACTGTCGCTTCTGCAACTTAAGCTCATTTCATTTTGATTGCAACACGCGCTTCCGATCCAATTTCGATATGGCAAGCGATGAGAAATTCTTTCTGCAGTATCAGCACCTGCATACTGGCGCGTGTTGGTCGAACGGAATCAATAGAACCATTGAGCCAACAAAGTTGGAAGGCAACCGGCAGTCTTGGCTTTGGCTATTTCGAGTACAGTTCATTAAATATTAATATCTTCTATGTAAGTAATTATTTTGAGTATCATTAAAGTTAATGATACTTAAATATCCGTGTTTTATTTAATCAGGCGCAGTTGGAAGCGCCTTGGAATTAATTTTTTTATTCGCGATCGTGTAAAATCCTTTAACTGGCGCCCGAGCAGGGACCCTGACTTAAGTGCTTAGTGGTCCTGTGAGTTATAAATTAATTCACAAAATCTAACTCCTCCTTCGCTAATCCGGTATTCCTGATAGTTATCCAACCGAAACATATAACCGTAGGTTACCGAGGCGGAAGTGAAGTAAACCGTACCTCAGTAGGTATCCACGATCATAAAAGTGGATCTCCAAACCGGAGAAATACGGTCCTTCCGTGAGGAGTAAAAGGGTTTTAAACGGTCGCGTCGCGCTGCCTAGCCAAGGCTCACCAAAATATAAAAATTCAAAAAAAAAGTTAAATTTAAAGAAAAATAAAATCCAAAAAATAATTGAAAATTCAAAAAATAATAAAATTGAGAAATAAAGAAGTTTTTTATATATAAAAAAGAGAAAGAGTTGAATACAAAAATAAATGGAAAATTAAGAAAGAATAAATATTAAGAAGATTTTTTTTTATAAAAAAAAGTAAAGTGAAGTGAAAACAAAAAGGATCTTCTTCATAAAAAGAATTGAAAATTAAAAAATAATAAAATTGAGATATAAAGAAGTTTTTTATTTAAAAAGAAGAGAAGAAGTTAAATACAGAAATAAATTGAAAATTAAGAAAGGATAAATATAAAGAAGATTTTTTTTTATAAAAAAAGTAAAGTGAAGTGCAAACAAGAAGGACCTTCTTCATAAAGGACATAACAGGTACGTGAATATTTTCATTTCTCCCCCTTGTCAACAATTAGAAATGGAGGAACTTAGGGCCACGGTAACGACCATGACTGGAGCCATAAATCGGTTTATGGAACAGATGAAGTCGATAGAAAACAGGATAGGGACGATAGAAGCTAGTTTGAGAGCGTCTAGAAAATAGGCAGGTGGACGCGATACCACCACTGGTCACCGACGAAGGATCTCTTCAACGACCGCGGACTGAAACAGAGTTGAAAGATATAAGTCGCTTCCCCGATAGTGTGAGAGAGTTAAGAACCTTTGAAGGCAATCCCACTCAGTATATTTCCTGGGTTCATTCAGTGGAAACTATACTGAAGGACTTTGAAATAGTTAGGGACAAACCTATTTATCGAGCAATTATACAAAGTGTCCGTCAAAAAGTTACGGGCGCTGCCGACACAGCCCTGGTATCCTACAATGTGTTTGACAGTGATTGGACGGAAATAAAAAGAATACTTTCCCTGCACTACGCTGATAAACGGGATATTCAAACTCTGGAACATCAGCTCAACCAGCTGTCTCAGGGATCCTCAAGCGTAGATGAGTTTTATTCGACAGTCAACCATCAACTTTCACTCATCATTAATAAATTAAAAACAGAGTCCCACAGTGAGGAAATGATCAAAGCCTTAGTAGGAACATACAGGAGTAGAGCGTTAGACATATTCATACGCGGATTAAAACCGGAGCTTTCCCGTATGATTATAATACAGCGGCCAGGAACGTTGCCTGAAGCGTATTCCGCTTGTTTGGAGTTACAAAATCTGACCATGCGAAAAAACATAATTTATTCGAAGACGAAGGCTTATGATTCAATCTCCACAGAAACGACTTATCGTCCTGGGCCTTCAAGACCTCCAAAATCATTCCCTAAGCGATCGGGATGGCTGCATAGAAATTCTCAGCCTAGAAATTGGGAGCATAATAACAATAATTCTAACTTTCGGGTAAATTAACATGCGAATTATAATAAGCCAGCGTTACCTCCACGGTATCCGGCCATAAAACACGAACCAATGGATATTGATAGGACAATACAATCTCGTCGGGTAAATTACATTAACCATCCTAGGACAGCTGAAAAAAGAGGCGCATATGAAGAAAGAACAGGGCATAAACAGGCAAAACTTTATCACATAGAAACTTTTTCTGACGAGGGCCTCATGGCTGAAAATGGCCTGGAGAGAGACTCTTGTAAGGAAGAAACTGTAGGCGAAGTAAATTTTATGGGGGAAGGCCATCAAGCTTACCCTATATAGAATACCCTTCTGTTAATGGCGGTACTTTATGTTTTTTGATCGACACGGGTTCTAACAAGAACTTTTGCAACCCACACTTATCACATGGTAGCATACCATTAGAAAAACCAATAAAAGTTCGATCAGTGGGAGGAGATATTAATATAGATAGGAAAGTAATTGGACCATTTTTTAAATTTTTAGGGATAAGTGAGCCCGTTGAGTTTTATGTTTTGCCAACGCTTAAAACCTTTGATGGTATAATAGGAGACGACACCCTTAAAGAGATAGGTGCTTTAGTTGATAGAAAGGAGAATGTTTTAGTTTTGAAAAATTGTTTTAAAATTCCATTAAAAGAAAAAGTAACAAATGAATCAAATTATGTATTAGGCGAAGAGTATGCACCAGAGGTCAGGAAAAGAATAGAAAGCCTCATTGATAAATACAAACCACTTTTTGGACCACTTGATGGTAGCGAACTTGCCTCGACAAACGTTCAAGCAGAAATAAGGACAACTACAGAAGAACCAATATATACTAAAAGTTATACTTACCCAGTCTGTATGAGGGAAGAGGTAGAACGACAGATACAGGAATTACTTTCGGAAGGAGTTATAAGACCTTCAAAGAGTCCTTACAATTCACCTATTTGGGTAGTGCCCAAAAAACCTAAACCTAATGGTGAAAAACAATACCGAATGGTAGTGGACTTTAAACGCCTAAATGCTGTGACAATTTCAGATACCTACCCAATTCCGGACATTACGTCGACTTTAGCTAGTCTAGGTAAATCAAAGTATTTTACAACGATAGACCTTACATCAGGCTTTCATCAAATATCCATGAAATCAAGGGACATCCCAAAGACTGCTTTTTCAACGGCAAACGGTAAATATGAATTCTTAAGATTGCCTTTTGGCCTTAAGAATGCGCCTGCAATATTTCAGAGGATGATAGATGATGTCCTCCGTGAGTATATAGGAAAACTCTGTTTTGTATACATTGACGATATAATAGTAATTGGAGAAAATATAGAAATTATTTTTGGGAGACTTCGCGAGGCTAATCTTAAGGTGAATCTTGATAAAACACATTTCATGAAATCGGAGGTGGAATTTCTTGGCTATATCGTTGGTTCTGAGGGAATCAAACCGGATCCAGCCAAGGTAAAGTCCATTGAAAATTTGTTACCCCCCACGAACTTGAAAGATTTGTAAAGCTTTTTAGGAATGGCTTCCTACTATAGGAGATGTATTCGAGATTATGCTAAAGTCGCAAAACCCCTTACAAATCTTACAAGAGGCAATATGCCCAAGTAAAAGCCAGTCAATCCAAAAAGGTGCCAATTACACTAACAGCCTGTTCCACGATCTCGAAAGAAAATTTGTGCGAACGAAGGCTACTCACTCACTTTCGTATAAGAATGCGTTCCACTAACTTTCGTTCCTTCTTTCGCATAACCTTACGTCATTCAGTGTTGCTAAATATTATTTGGAAAAATTAATCGCGAAATAAGGCAAAAAAAGCGCCAAATGTCTAATTTAAACGCGAAAAAGCAGCAGTGGCTCTGTCTCAACTGACAGTTCAGTTGTAAACAAACAAATTGTAAATAAACAAACAAAATAAAATTTCTAGTGATTGTGTTCAAACTATTTGTGTTCTTAAAAAATAAAAAAAATGAATATTTCTGTAGCCCTATTTTTTATGGATGGAGGCATTTAAGAGATGCTTCGAATTTATTTGAAGTACCTAACAACCAGTAAGTATGATTGTATTTTTACATTTTTGAAATAATAAAAAATGAATTTTTCTAGGTTTGTGTCTTCCAGTGGTCTTCAAGGGATTGGCACTCCTCTGGCGAACTTAGGATTCTCCTCCATATACTCAACTAGTGCCCGCAGCTGTGTAGTTTTTTCGTGCTGGAATTGAGAAAATAAAAAAAAATATGTTTGTTGTTCACAGATTAAATTGCATTTATTATTTTTACTTACATTTTTCTTTCCATTTTCAATCAAGGAATGTTTATGTTAAAACAATTTTCACTAATTTTTATCATTCGACAGCAAACACACAAGTGACTGATTTTGACATTTGTGTTCGCATGCGTACGAAAGAAAAAAGATAGTGGAACGCAAAATTACACTGAAATGCTTACGTTTTCGTTCGCTTTGATTTTCGTGCAAATTTTCGTTCTGATGGATTTTAGTGGAACGGAAATCAGCTGTTTGTCGTGTAAAAGTTTTGCGAACGTGTTCTTTCGATATCGTGGAACAGGCTGTAAATAACGAGTCCTTAAAGTCTTTCGATAGACTGAAATCTATGTTAACTACAGCAGAGCTACTATCTTTCCCTGACTTTGAGAAGCCTTTTAACTTAACAACGGATGCCTCTAATACCGCGTTAGGTGCCGTTCTGTCACAAGGCGAAGTGGGAAAGGATAAACCCATAGCATACATATCTCGGTCTCTCAATAAAACTGAGGAAAACTATGCCACGAACGAGAAAGAGATGCTGGCCATTGTATGGGCCCTTGATAATCTCAGAAATTACTTATACGGGGCAAAGAAAATCAGGATCTATACTGATCATCAGCCTTTGACGTTTGCACTAGGGAATAGGAATTTTAATGCCAAATTAAAACGGTGGAAGGCACGTATAGAGGAATATAACCACGAGTTGATTTATAAACCTGGTAAATCAAACTATGTGGCTGATGCTCTTTCAATGTTAAATACCGCTTCACATCATTTATATCACGCTTCTACTGAAACGGCGAGGGAGGGAATGAGCACGAACTCAGATGAAACTCTAACTGCTTCAGAGGGTCGAGAAGATGATCTTTCATCAATGGCAACAGTTCACAGTGCAGAACAAGATGCCTCTGACTTGATACCCCATGTGGAGGTACCTATAAACGTCTTTAGGAATCAGATTATATTAAGAATGGGAATGGACATGACAGCGATCGAAGAACCACACCGTGGGTATACTAGACATTTCATTTCCTCGAAAAATTGGTCTCAGGAAAAACTTATAACCCTGCTCTAGTAAAAACTTCGACCAAATATCCTTAACGGAATAAAAGCATCAGAAGGTCTTCTTGGTGACTTACAAGAAGTTTATATCGATCATTTCTCAAAATATAAAGTGAGAATTGCTCAGAAACTAGTTACAGATATAACTTCAAAAGAACGTCAATTCGAAATAATAGAAACCGAACATAGAAGAGCTCATCGTAATCCCAGAGAAAATGGTGAACAAATTTTAGAGCAATTCTACTTTCCGCATATGCGCGCTAACATCAGGAAATACGTTGCTAGCTGTGACGTTTGTAATAGATGCAAGTACGACAGAAAACCTCCACAAATACATCGTCAAGAAACACCTGATCCTAAATTTCCTTGCAAAATCCTCCACATGGACATCATGGAAATTCAGGAACAAAAATTCATTACTTGTATAGACAAGTTTACCAAATTCGCTAAATTCTTTGCTATTAAGGATACATCGTTGGTCCAAGTACAGAAAAAAATAATTAAAGTTTTGCATTATTTCACAGTGCCAAAAATTCTTGTTACTGATAATGAACGTAGCTTCCTAAGCCCCTTGATTGAATCATTAATCAAATCCCTGGGTATTAAATTATATCTAACGCCGGTACAAAGAAGTGAAGTAAACGGGCAGTTTGAACGACTACATTCAACAATAATTGAAATTTATAGATGTCTAAGAGTTGAATATCCGAATCTATCAGTAAAAGAATTAATTGAAGTATGTGTAGATAGATACAATAATACTATCCATTCAACAAAAAAGAAAAGACCATGTGACTTATTTTTTAATAGAAATGGCAAAGCGAATTATGCAAATCTTTTATCTGAACAAAAGAAAGTTAATACGGACCTCAGGCAGTTACTTAAAAAACACATGGCAAATCGCAATGCAAAAATGAATAAAAAAGGCAGTGCCCAAAAAAATATAGAAAAGGAGATAGTATATATGTAGCTATTAAAACCATCAAAGGGAAAAACAAAGCGCTATATAGAAAAGAAATAGTTGAAAAAGACAATAGAGTAACGGTGTTGACAAGGAGTGGACGAAGTATTCACAAAGAACATATAAAAGATTTGAATAGAAAAAGTCCAAAGAAAAATCTAACTTTATAATTATTTTTGATCCTTTTTGTTTCGTTCACGTAAAGTATACATCTTGCATATAAGTACAAAAAAGATTACGTATTAAAAATGAATAAAATAAAATGGAACAAAGTAAAATGGAACAAATTGTACGAGTCCATTGAGAATTAAAAAAATTGTATGAGCCCATTGAGGAAAAAAATAAAATGGAACAAATTGTACGAATCCATTGAGAATTATGAACATAAGACAATAATGAATAGTTGAGGATAACTACCATTAACTAGAGCTTTCCTGTAAGTGGGATGGATAAATCGTACCCCAGTAGGTTGGGGGAGGCATGCTTGCTCCCGACTAAACCGGACCAATACGAAGTCCCCATGGTACGTTCGAGAAAAAGGTCAGTTTCCAAAACTAAATGTATCTCTTTGCTCTTTAAAAAAAAAGATAATATGAAAGAAATAACACAAAGAAAAGAAAGAATGAATAAATGTAAAAATTGTATACACAATGCAAAAAAATATAAGTAAATGAGCTCAGATCGGTTAGCTTCCGGATGATGCACTAAACCATGGTCTGGCGAGTTGCATCACGGGCTACAGATGCGACGGCAGCATGGTATTAGATCATTATTTAGCGTTCAAAGTAAACCAAGGAACTATCCATATTCTGGCTCATAAAGAAATCTCACATATTACTGCATAGTTGCATCAAAAAAAATATAATCGCATCAAAAAAAAAAAAAAAAAAAAAAAAAATATATATATATATATATATATATATATATATATATATATATGTGAGGAGAACCATTCAAGGACAAAGTTTGGATACAGCGATCTTTCTGGGGACATTTTCGGTATTTGAGGTCTGTCCCCGAATTCTCATCAGGGCTGCGAATTATTTGAGGACATTCTGAATTCGGGGACAAAATTTATAAATGTCAATATTATTGTTTTTTTTTGGAATATCCACACATTCTTTCCTTAAATACACCTTAATTTTTCATATGTATACTCAATAAGTACGATTTTTCGGGAAAAAAACAAAAAAATAAATTCATAGGGTTACCATGTTTTACCAAATTATCAACTTTTTGGATGCCTTTAATCATCGCAATTCTGTGATTTGTACATGTCATTCGCTTGGTAACTCCTCGAAATAATTATGTTAGGACCAACAAAGTATAAATATTCTTAATGAACGTAAAACTCTCAAACCATTTAGCGCTGTCTGTTTTTTTTTTTTTTTTTTTTTTTTTTCATTTAACTGTAAAATATAGTATTCAACTTACAATGATTCAACTAATCAATTTCTAAAAAAAACTTGTGTTTAAAAAATTGAAATATATATATATATATATATATATATATATATATATATATATATATATATATATTTCATATACAAAAATCTAAATTTAACTAATTATCATTAACACATTTCATAGTCATATCACCGCCTCATCCCTATTGACATAATTACCTTATACTATTTCCAGAAATTATATTTCTTTATGGTTATGCATCTCGGGTCATTTTTCCTCATTGCATTCAACCTGATTGGTTTTATAAACGGTTTACAAATCTACCAGTACAAAACATCGCTGGTTTCATTAAAAATTGGTAATGGATGGATAGTCAATGGTAACTTCAAGATAATACATGTCATCAACTTGGAACAATACATGGATGCTGCAGCAAATATCTCATCTCTTATTGAACGACACATCCCGCCGAGTAAAAACAAGGAATTCATCTTATACCATATATTGCAGATGCAGGAACGTCTTAATGAGTTGATGAATGTACAAAGAAGAACGCTTAGGTCAATAGATTGGATCGGATCAGCGTGGAAATGGCTTGCTGGAAGTCCCGATTCAACAGACTGGAACAATATACTACGGAGCCGAGAAAATATCATCATAAATAATAATGAACAATACAGAATTAATGAAGAGCTTGGGCAGAAGACGAACCAGGTTATCAAGAAGAAATCGTAACGTTATTGACAGACAACGTTATCTACATGACAAACTACAGGGGTTTGATTGAATTGAATGGGAAAACTGAGTTTCTCAATGGCACTTACCTTCTGCAACTCTCAAATGAATCGGTGGTAATCAAGAATCATACTTACTCGAGCAAGTCAATCACGAAGGTTCAGGCCTTACACAAAATTTCCTGAGCGAACACTCATATTTGTACGTTGTTCAAATCAAATCACTCTCAGAACAACGAAAAAATATGTCCCATCCCTAACAAATGAGAGCATTTATCGAAAAAATAAATTATGACATTTAAAAATTATAAATAGAAAAATTTAATGAAATTTTAAAAATTTTTGGGAAGACTGAAAATTATGAATGAAAACTACAATGTTGAATGGCGTATGTACATTCAAACGAAAGTAAATTTTTGTGTTTGTTTTCTCTTTCGAGACGAGCTTAATGATCTGAAATTTGCAGTGAAAAGGAAAGCCAGATAGACACTATCACACACTCACCACTATGCGACGCGTTTCGCCGTTGGTTAAGCGGCTCATCAGGCATATTTGGTGTGGATGATGGCTTACAAGGGCCGTTCTCTGGAAAGTAGTATATATTTCGAACATATTGCAAATTAGCATATGCGAATTATACACTAGAAACTCTCCAGGTTCGACTCAAGTTCTATTGGCAGATCTTTTTCACAGCAAAGTTTTTTTTTTTTTTTGTGTTTTTGTAGTGATGGATTTTTTGTCCACAACAACTTCATTGCTTCCAATGCATACACTTGTTTTAGTGCTGCTTTAGGAAGACGGGTTAATGGCTCTGAACGTAGAGACGGCAACTTCTAGTTGGCTGCACACCGAGGTCCGCGGTTCAAATCCCACAGCCAGGCTCGGCTGAATTTTTGAGTTTTGCCTTGTTAAGGCGAAGATCATATGTTTTATGATTTATGTGTTTGTTTTCTCTTTCGAGACGAGCTTAATGATCTGAAATTTGCAGTGAAAAGGAAAGCCAGATAGACACTATCACACACTCACCACTATGCGACGCGTTTCGCCGTTGGTTAAGCGGCTCATCAGGCATATTTGGTGTGGATGATGGCTTACAAGGGCCGTTCTCTGGAAAGTAGTATATATTTCGAACATATTGCAAATTAGCATATGCGAATTATACACTAGAAACTCTCCAGGTTCGACTCAAGTTCTATTGGCAGATCTTTTTCACAGCAAAGTTTTTTTTTTTTTGTTTTTTTTTTTTTTTGTTTTTTTTTTTTTTTTTTTTTGTTTTTGTAGTGATGGATTTTTTGTCCACAACAACTACATTGCTTCCAATGCATACACTTGTTTTAGTGCTGCTTTAGGAAGACGGGTTAATGGCTCTGAACGTAGAGACGGCAACTTCTAGTTGGCTGCACACCGAGGTCCGCGGTTCAAATCCCACAGCCAGGCTCGGCTGAATTTTTGAGTTTTGCCTTGTTAAGGCGAAGGTCATATGTTTTATGATTTATGTGT